ACGGAGATGCAGGCCGCCGTTCCGGCGGGGCTCTCCGCCGGCGACGCCTTCGTGGCGCAGCTTCCGGACGGGCAGCAGATTCAGATGACGGTGCCGCCGGGCGCCACCGCCGGCCAGCAAATCAGGGTGGTGGCGCCAGAGCCGGTGCAGGCGTACCCGGTTGTCACCGCAGAGCCCGTCGTGCGCCCCGTGCAGGCCGTGCCTGGATACCAGTCACACCAGGTCGCGCCCATGCCCGGGTACCTGGCCCACGACGTGCACGTGATTCCGCCCGCATCGGTGGTGCCGCAGCCGAGGCCGACAGCCGAGTATGAGGGGCCACGCGGCGGCTGCTGCGAGCCCGGCGGCTGCTGCGGGCCGCCCACCCCGCCGACGCAAGACATCGGCCCCGACGGCCATGTGTCCATCCTGCGCGTGAAGTATACCGACGCCGACTGCTGCAGCCACTCGCTGCCCTTCAAGGCCGAGTTCATGAACGCGTGCCCTCCGCAGCTCCGGCAGGCCGGCGTGACGGACGGAGAGTGGGCGCACTGGGCCGGGAGGCTGTACAAGGAGGTTAATCTGATCAAGCCTCAAAAGTGCAGCTTCATCTGCTGGGCGAGCTTAGTCGTGATGCTCGCCACGCTCTGCCTCATCGCGCCGCTTTGCTGTGCGGAGCACCGCAAGACCATCATGGCTTGGGACGCCGCCTTCCGGAGTTGGCAGGCGGAGTTCAACGCGCAGGTGCTCCAGCCGAAGGGCATCTTTTGCAAGAGTCAATCGCTCTGCTGGGTGACGCGCGGGCCAAAGGGGGAGAAACAGCGTCACTACCACAGGTGGATCGCGTTCGCCTTTTCGGCCGACGCCGTCGGCAACCTCATGCACCAGCCCCACCTCATGGGCGACATCGAGTCGGGCTGCTGCGGCGGCCCAAACGAGTTCGAGTGCTGCATGCATCCGTGAGTGATGAGACACATCCGTGATAAGCGTTGGTAGTGGTATTTACTGTCCAAGCCTAAAGTCTGTGCAGGGGTTGCGGAGGACACGATGCCGGCGTACTGACGGATCCGCTCCTGATAGTGGCATGCACCGCGCTGCGGCGCGTGCCACTGTCTTTGTTTGGAGTGTTAAAAGTCTCGAATCAGAGCGATATGTCGGCGTGTTGTCCTCCATTTTCCTCCCCCCCGGCCGCCCGTCCGGCACCGCTCCGGGACGCACGCCGGCGAAACACCATCAAGCTGCTGTACGGCCCTGGCATCGCCTCCCCTGGCTTAGTTAGCTAGACTGAGAGATATATTGTGCACATGGGTTGCGACGGTGTATCATTCACTTTATGCCACCGTTGCATATCCGGTTATGCCACCGTCTCCTCCTTCCCATGATACACCGCCACAACTCA